GGTCTGTTCAGCTCCCAGGTACAAATAAAATGTGCAGAAAAGTTATCCTGGGCATCTGTTGCTTCTGCTACAATCGAGATTGATTCATATTCTGCCAATGCACATTTTGTAGACTGAACATGCAAAGCAATTACTGCTGGTAGATAATCTTGGCAAAGTTTATTCACACATGGGAAACTACTAGCATTTGGCACGTGTTTGTTCAAGTAGTTCCTTAATTTAGGGTTATCAATTTTCTACAAGGAATGCTGGAGGCTGTGAATGCTTCCACTGCTGCAAATACAGCCTCTCTTCTTGTCAAACTGTTTTCAATTGTTCTTTTAAAGATTGAGTACATAGTTATTTGTTTCTTGCTCTAACCTTCAGCCTCTGCAGTGGCCTTTTGCTTTATATGTGATTTGGACTCCAAATGCCAATCAATCCTTTTTCCTTGACACATCCAGAAGTGCACTGCATGATGAACAAAACAATTTACCATCATCTGCATGCAAGGTTCTTACAGGGAAGTGCCTTACATGATCCTGAGCTGAAATGTATTTAGGTTTCATGGATGTCTTTTCACTCATCTTCAGACTGCAGCACTGAATCTGGCTTCTTAAAAGATGGCATTGAAACCCTTTTGATTTCCTGACTGGCATCTTCACTGAGCCTACATCACTAGCTCAGCCTCTCAGACCATGTGCTCTACGGCTGGAGCGACTGCTGTGTTTTTTGTATTGCACTAAGCTTTCCCCCCCCCCCCAGACAATTCTGTGCAAAACTGCAGGAAATGTCATTTTTCATGGTGATCGCAAAAGCTGCTATTTTTCACGGCTTTCATGAAAATCACAAAACTGTGATTTAATAGGTCCCTATTAATGACTAAAACACTGAATCCTAACCTCGTTAAAAGCAATAGCTACTGTTTTGGATAAGTTTGACCTTCAAACTGCCAATTTTGGCTCAGTAAACTTTATGAACATCTGCAAACCATTCTATACAACTGCACAGAAAGAAACTGGCATTTGAACATTTTATAGAGAAGCAAGGAGGTACAATCCTTCTGAGTATACTCAAGGTCAGATAGTTTTGACATACACCAACTACAAAAATCTAACAGGGATGGCATTGATCAGTCCGTCAGTGAGGTTCTAGTATTTGACCGATTTGTGGGACGAAAATACTGGTCAGTCCAAGTATTTATTGCTATGCAGAATTCCACGGGCAGCAGCAATGCTTTCAAGAACCGTAAAAACCCCAAATATTAACATTATATTAATACTGATATATGTTCAATAGAAAGATGACTCAAATAAATCCTGCGAACACAATTTTATTTAGATTGTAGACAGCATAGTTTTGAAGATGTTGGAGCACAAAAATCTTTTACTCTGGGTTAATGGGTCAAATTTTCAGTCTGATAGATGCTGGGTACGTTTTTCACCATGTGCTTAGTCATTAGACAGTAACATAATTAGGTGGGGCAAATGGGGCATCAGCAGCATCCTGCAGCACTTTGCACCCCTGCTATCTGGTGTCCAACAGCATCTCTGCCCAAGACGCCAAAATGGCTAGTTCCACCTCTGTCAATGGCAAACAGTAAGTGAAACAAACATGAGAGAATGGCTAAAAGTCCAAGGTTGTTTGTATGCAGACCACCACAAGGAAGTGGAAAGAAGAGTCTCCCTGTTAGCATAGACTGTACAGCCAAATGCTGAAGTTTTTACTCAGACAAGCTCTCACTGATACCTTGCTTCTCTCTCTGTCTCTCTCCCAAGCTGATGCTGTTTCACATACAATTTCTAACACGAATCCCTCAGGGCAGCTGTTGAAAACTGACTTGCAAAAATGTAGAATGTTTCCAATGACAGTCATTACTGAGTATCATGGTGATTGGCTTTCCCACCCACATTCCCACAGGGTTAGTGAATGGTAAAGCCATAATTGAAAGAAGTGATGTCTAGCGTTTTAAAACGTAACTTGGTGAGGCCGCAGCTGGAGTACTGCGTCCAGTTTTGAGCTCCACAATTCAAAAAGGATGTGAAGAAGCTTGAGAGAGTCCAGCGAAGAGCCACACACATGATCAGAGGTCAGGAAAACAGACCTTACGATGACAGGCTGAGAGCTATGGGGCTCCAGCTTGGAAAAGCGCAGGCTCAGGGGTGATCTGATGGCCACCTATAAGTTTATCAGGGGTGACCACCAGTATCTGGGGGAAAGTTTGTTCACCAGAGCGCCCCCAGTGATGATGAGGTGTAACGGTTATAAACTCCTGCAAGACTGTTTCAGGTTGGACATAAGGAAGAATTTCTTTACTGTCTGAGTCCCCAAGGTCTGGAACAGCCTGCCACCGGAGGTGGTTCAAGCACCTACACTGAACACCTTCAAGAGTAAATTGGATGCTTATCTTGCTGGGATCCTATGACTCCAGCTGACTTCCTGCCCTTTGGGCGGGGTGCTGGACTCAATGATCTTCTGAGGTCCCTTCCAGCCCTAATGTCTATGAAATCTATGAAACTTCAAAAACTGATGAATATTGCATCATTAAGTGCTTAAAACTGCCCTTATATCACCTCCATTTGGCGCACAGTAGGCACATCTACAAGGGCACTAATGTGCTTTTTCTAATGTGCATTAAATTTAGTACCACCTGGTGGGTGTCTCTAGATGTGCTGTGAGGCTACTTTGATGCACTGTAATTCCAGTGCGTAGGAGCAGATTCAATTAAGAGAGTCTGCTGGAGTGTGGTAGTTACCATGGATCTGAGTTCCCCATTTGCCAGGGAAAAACGTGGTAAAAGCTAAATTTTGTCATTTTAAAGAGAAAAACCTGGATTTTTAGCTTTATAGGACAAAAAAAAAAAAAACAAAAAACCCCACAGGGACCAGTGGATTTCCCCTAGCAGGCTGGCAGAGTTCCAGCCTTCAAGGGTCTGGAGGGAATGGGAAAAGGGTGATCATTGGGGGGGCACTATGTGCATGTATACATGCACATGGTTGTCAGGCAGCCTGGCGAGCAGCTCCCGCAGGTAGGTCTTGAGTGGGGGTAGGGATTAAGGCCCCTATGGTGACAGAGGGAGGGAGTTGGGCAGGGCTGGGGCTGGGGTTGCTGCCCAGCTGGGGCGATACGTGGGGCTTGGGGCCCAGGATCAGAATGCATGGTTACAGGGTCGCAAGTGGGATGGGACAGTGGGCAGCTTGTTTGGGGAAGTGGGGGGAAGGGGGAGGAGTGACTCTGCTGCTGCTGTATGCACTCCTGGGGAGTACATAGGGGTCATATACCCTCCAGATTGGGGGGGCAGGGGGCAGACTGAACTTTGTGGATTTTAACCAGAGAATTTGCAATTTTTAAAAGAAGAGAATTTGTGATTTTTAAAAACAGAGAAAACTAGAATCCCTGGTAATTACCATGCTCCAGCCAGCCTCCGCATCACATGCATCAGCATCCCCATGCTTCAAAATGACAGCAAGGATGCTAAACTAAAGCTCATCAAATAAGTTTTAGTTCAAACACCCCCACTGCCATTTTGAAGTGGGGGACGCTGATACCCAAGACACTGCAGCACTTTAATTACAGCAGTTCTCGAAGCTACTCCAAATAAAATGTCCCCTCCCTCCCCAGAACATACACAAGTGCTCTCCAACATGAGGTACTACATTAATGAGCATTAGGCTGCACTAATGCATAGTAGCAAATCTTGCATGTTTTTTTTTTTTTTAGCTATGCTTAACGTGCAGCAGAATATTTTATTGCACGTTTGCATAGTGTCACAGTTTTTACATGACGCTTTAATGCACAGTAAAATAGTCTACTGCACATTAAAGCACATGTAGACACGCCCAATATTTTATACATTTGCACTTGTCCACGAAAGAGAGAGTTATGTAGTCAGCTTTCAGCGAGCTATTGTAAGCAAATGGATTTCACACTGAAGTATTAACAAGAGACTGAATTAGTTCAAATGCGCATACCTAGAGATGCCACAGATACTCACCGATATGAGACTATGCTAGATGAGCTGTATAGTAAATTTTAATGCAACCTCTTTTTGATACCATCTAAACAATTATACAATCTCAATTACTTTTGCAAGTGACCAACATGCATTAAGTAAATTTTTTTTCTATTCCCCAGAATAGATACGTCCCTTGCTGTTAAGCCACAGGAGGAATCAAGTCATTTTAAGTCGTGTCAGATCATGGCTTTAGGTTCAGGCCTCTCCTGTGGACAAAGAACAAGCTAAGCCACGGAGTGTCTTGCAGAGGAATTCGGGGGGTGGGAGGGTGGGGGGGAAGGGAGGAGAATGTGTTTCAGAATTTCACAAAGAAAAGGAAAGTTTCAAACTTCATTTTACCTCAGAGAAAAGATGCTACAAAAGGCACTTCCACTCCTTGCTGCATTAGCTTATGATGTTGTTAATGTTCAGCCAGGGAGAGGTAGAGACAAGCCAGAGCACTACTGCCACAAAGTTAAAAATGAAGTCACTTGAACACCATCAGCAACATATTTAAAGGTGTCACATGTGAGCACTTATTTCCCCTTTGATGATCATGGGAAAATTGGATAGGATACTGGAAATCTGATCAACAAGTTGTTTCTAGTTTTTCCTAGCCAGATATAGTTTTTCACTTTCTTTAAACCTGGAAACAACCCCAGGCTCCTCTCTACCTACCCACCCAGTCCCTTTGTAATTCTACAGTAGTGGCAAGAAAAGCCAGCTATTTCACAGGATTGGCTTCTTCCAGTGCAAACTCAGAAATTGGCCATTTAGAAAATATGCCAAAATAAAGTTTTAAAACTGTAAAAACAAACAAACAATTTCCAGATGTCTTTTCTAACACTGGCATTTTCCAGACATTGGAGGTTAATTTTTTCCCCCCTCTGAATTAGAAAGAGATATGAAGAAGCCCCAGCGTGTCCTAAAATATTTATGTGGAAGCAGTTTTCCAGATCTCAGTTATATTCAGGTCCAAGGAGCATTTATACTGTGTGTACATGTTACAGCAGTACAGTAAACTTACAGCAGCTGTGTTCTTCACCACATGTCCTACAATCACAACAACTCTTCCTTTAAAGCTCTGGAGCGTAGCAGTAGCGGGGCACTGGACGAGCTGTCCTTCTGTTGCGAAAGCCAAACCAAATGAAATGTTGATACTGCCTGAAATGTGGCCACGGTTAAAGCTGAAGGAGAACACAGTTAAGAAAAAACACAGTGGAAAAGATGTTCTAGATATACTCACACTTTCTGTACAGTGCCCTAGCACAGCATTGTACAGTGCCTACCACAAAACAGATAGAGATTTCAGCCACTGAAAGTCAATGGGAGTTATATGCAAGCGTTTTAATTAAGAATTTGTACTATGCAGTTTTAGACCAAAGGGCAAATAATGAACTTCCTTCTTCACTGCTACTGCCAATGATGAAGTAATTAAAACAGAAGCTGCCTCCTTTTAAGAAGTCCCCTCCTCTGCCTGATGCGACACAAATTAATTTGTTCTTTTTGGGCTAATGCACATTGAGAATCGCAGTTACTGTTTACTCAAACTGAAAATAGCTGCTAGCTCACATGAAAATTAACAGGGCAAAGATTTATTTGTGGTTTTATAAAAAAAAGACAGGTAGAATTATTTCCAACACTGCTGTGGTCAATGTGTATCTAGATGCACAGTGAAAAGAGAAATGTAGGGCCCTGACACAACCCTAGATTTAAGACATAGGTATGGTGAAAACTGTGCCATAAATAATAACCTGGCCAAATATTAAAGCCAATTTAGGACATGACAATACAGCAAATGTGCCACAAGGACGCTCCACATATAAGGTGGAACATCTTTGTGGCTTGTCTGCATCAGGCCTTAAATTGAATGTGTGGCATATTGGGGCTGACCCATGCCAAATTCCACTGCTCAGGTGAGTGCAGAGATCTGGCATGGGGCAGCTCTAGGGGTCCAGGATATAGCTATCCATCACCCAATCAGAGGGACTGGGTTGGAGGCAGCATTGAGTTCTGGACACAGCAATGCCACCCAACTCCCTGAGGCAGATCAGGGGGTGCCATGAGCCCAACATCAGGGAGCATTTTCTTAATCTCAGGCTCGTTGTGTCCAAGGCCTTTAAAAAGTAGGTGTACTGCTTGGGAATCCAGGTGCATACCCACTTTAAGTTCCCGGGGTGCCCACAGAAGTCGCACATGGGGAGCTGGAGCACCATAGCAGGGGTGTGCAAAACGGGCCCTATTTGATTCCGGATTCGTTTGGATTCGATTAGTTGATTTGGATCACTGTCCCTGATTTGAGTCAACTGAATCCAAATCTGAAGATCTGATGCCGATTTGGAGAATCAGCAATTTGGTTGTAGACACAGCTTTAAATGTTTTTTCTACATACCTCAAGGTACCAGGCATGGCTCGTGAGCGCTGCAACACTGGGGCAGATGGAACGTCCCACAGGAGTGGCGTGGGGCCCCCCAGCATGCTTAGCGGTGAACCTAGAAGTGGACCGGAAGTCCTTTTCCCACCGACCACTTACGGGGCTTGAACTGGCTCGATGCAGTCTTGGGCTGGTAATGACAATTAGCTGATTTTTGCCTCAGGCCCAACAATCAGCTGATTGTCAGCTCTAAGCACAGACCATACTGGAGCTGGCTGGAGTCCCTTATAGGGTCTAGGAGCCAGCTGACAGTCAGCTGACTGTTAGCCAGCATGGACCTGTGGGCACTCTTCTTTCAATCTGCCAGTGCAAGATTATAATCCTGGGGTCCCCCTGCACTGGCAAGTATTAATGGTGCGATTTAGATCTGATCCTCAGCCCCAGCAATTATGCTTCTGCATGTGTGGCATAGTAGGAAATGCAGTTGTTGGGATCAGTTCCCACTGTGCAAATTACATGAATGTGTGCCAGGGTGTTATGTTCAGGAACACATCATCTAGTCTCTTGTCAGCCTGACATCCTTTTAAAGGTTTAATTATATTTAAATAGCCAGGACATTTTTGCATCCACAAACAACAGATACTTTGCCCTGGCTGCAGTTTAATATTTAGTACCTGGAACACAAAGCTTCTTGTAGCAAAAAATTAAAGTACTGGCAACTGCCTGTGTGAAGTTTTGTGTCTGTTGGTCATTGATACAGTGCCAATCACTTCTATGAACTGAAGTTTGTTTTTTTTTTACTACACTTTTTTAACCCCAAAATATAGATATTTGAATACAATGACAAACTTCTCCTCACAGACAAGGTAAAAGCACATAAAAAGGATTAGAAACCAAGTCTCTCAAAATCTATATCTGCATTTATATATTGAAAGGCAATACACATGATAGGTTCTAATATTTAAAGAGTTTAGAAGAAACTTTTTCAAAAGCCTCACTCAAGCCTGGTCAGCATGTCATATTTCTGCATTTAAGTCCATTAGTCTTACTATTCAGAAATGGTCTAAAAACCTAATGCTGAGTTCTTTTAAAAAAAGATGAGCATTGTCTAACAATGGAGGCCTGAACTTGCTCAAAACTCAAACTGAAGTTAAAGAGTTCATGTAATCTATAACTGACTTATTAAAACTTTCACAGGCACCTCTCTTCTCTTGCATACGAACATGGCGAGACTTTTTTTTTTTTTTTTTTAAATGTATAGCAGTCAATTTGCTGGGTGGAAAATACTGCAAACAAATATCAGTACCAAGTATTCTGATGATTAGTCACTCAATTATACTTAGAGAAGGCTAGTAAATTCCAGGATTTAATTAAAATGAGTTGGCTTGGAAGGCATTAAGATTAATCTACTTAGACTAAGACTAGCATAATTTTTAAAAATGTGATTAAGTGTGAGCAGATGAAGCTTGATGATTGTCATTATGATGTGGTGGGAAAGTACAGCAAAACAAAAATTTCTGAAAGATTAATGAGAGAAATCTCACTAATTACCATAGGTCATTTGCCTCTAATTGGAAGGCAAAAAAAAAAAAAGAGAAAGACTCTCTCTTCCCCAAGAAAGGTACAAAAAGGCTCTGATTTATAGCTCTAATCGGATACATTACTGCTACATAGGACAATTTAAAAAAAAAAATAGGAGAGCTTTTTTTCAGAAGAACGTGATTTTATTTATACTGAGCATGATAAGCTACTCAGTTCAAGTGCCCTAACCTTTTGACAGGATAAATAAATTGACTTGTACTTAGAGTAATGACATTAGTATCCAACTATGCAGGCTGACTATTTTTTGTCATTTGTATTCTTTCTAATCTTAAATGACCATCTTAACCATTCCATCACTAAGATAATTACAAAAGGCAGAGATTTTGTGCAACAGACTTAAAGAACATGGAGTACTTAGCTAGCTAACTTTCATAAAAGGAATGGAACATTGCCAGTATTTCTGCCAACATACTTAATGAAATGAGGCTTAGACAGAACTGCTGGCTTTCAACTGCAAACAGAGACACTACTTAGAATACATTACATTTTCATTAAAAAATCTTCTCTTGTAAAACTATCTGGAAAAGGAACCGTCTCTAGACCTTGTGCTCACAACATGTACTTCATTACAATACAGCTGTCCCTTCATTTTCAAGTACAGCTTAACATGCAAACCATGCTAAAGACCCTTTAAAATGGTACAAGCAGGACACCTGTTTAAATTCTTCAATTTATATTACTACATGGTTTCCCACCAAACTGCTTTAAAAGCAACTGGGCTTCTCTTTCTTTTTTTTTCCTGTGGAAGTGTGAAGGTGTGAGAAAGGATACCACAGGTGGAGTAAAGTATTAAAATGAAATGGGATGGTATTTACTTGTTGGCACACTAATTAAAGTGGAGTTCACTTTTTAAAGAAATACCATTTTTATGTGAATCCAAGAGGAGATTCCCCACCCTCTCCCACAAATCAACATGGGCGGGGGGAAGTCTTTTTTTGGATTCAAGTACCAACTGGGGCAGGTGGATGCTGAGGGTCTGGCACAGGGCCCAGAGCTGAAACCCTGTCTGCCCTGGGCTGGGCTGGCTGAAGCTGTGTGGCAAGTGGCACACAACAGGGGGAGCACAGGGGAGACAGAACAGCGTGGGGGAAAGGGAAGGACAAAGGAGACCTGTGGGGAGGGCATATGAGAAAGACCTGCAGTGTGTGCAAGGCTCAGGAGGTGTGTGGGGGAGATTGAAGCCAGTCAATCCTCCCTACCCACCCCCCTCTACCACTTAACTTCTGCCTCAGTTGTGGCTCCAACCAGGACCGCAACCTAACCTGGAGCTGGAACCATTGTTTTTGCCTCGCTGCCTGCACCAGAGCCAGAGATCCTGCAGAAGGTAATCAGGGTTGGGGAAGGGGCAAGTGGCTGAGGAGTAGGCAGAAGCTGGGGGAGGCAGGCAGCAAGGGAACAACTGGTTGGGGAGGGGGGTAGGCAGACAGCAGGCATGGGAAGGCAAGGGGTTGGGAGTCTAGCCATCTGCCTCCCACCCCTACACTGCTTTTCCTGCTACAGCGGTCATGGGGGATAAATTTAAGATTACCCCCCCCCCCCAATAATTAGATTCTATACATAGAAAATTATGAGAAATTTATCATTTTCCATGCATAGAATCTAATTAGGGGGGTGGTTCATTTAAAATACAAAATAGTCTTGGATGTAGGTAAATATGGTAGTAATGCATAAAAGGAAGAACAACTGCATAACAATTTTTTGGTATGTTCACATGATCACAGCTGGAAATTGAGTGCCTCAAACCCACTGAAAGAATATGGGACACTATGACCATACCTATACAACAGTTTTATCAGCCCCAGCAACACTACCTCCAAACATGCTGCTTTACTCTGGGCAGAATGCCTCCTAAACCAAAAACCATGCAGTCGTTGCCAAAGAGGCAGGCTAATTGACATTGTTACTGAACAATTAACCTGCCTGCTTAGTGTCAAGGATTTGTTTCTGCTGCTTTCTGTTTAGGAGGCAGCCCCATCAGTCCAGTGCAGTGTGCACGGGTACATCACCATCTGGAATGGTTGGTTTACAGTACATCTAGCCCAGTGGTTCTCACAGCCTTTCTAGATTCAAGGTACCCCTTGGAAGACTTAAAATAGAGCAATACTTCTGTTGTAGAGAACTCAATGAAGATAATAAGTCACTATATTTTTGACACTATGAATTCTTATTTGAAATTTCTGGGTTTATCTTGCAAATCATGTGTAGGTGTTT